CCTGGGTCTGGGTGTCTCTCTCTCTCTCTCAGGGGGTTCACAGTGGCCGTGTGGGAGACGCTGAGACCCTGGGATCAGGGTTCAAGCCCTGGGTCTGGGTGTCTCTCTCTCTCTCAGGGGGTTCACAGTGGCCGTGTGGGAGACGCTGAGACCCTGGGGTCAGGGTTCAAGCCCTGGGTCTGGGTGTCTCTCTCTCTCTCAGGGGGTTCACAGTGGCCGTGTGGGAGACGCTGAGACCCTGGGGTCAGGGTTCAAGCCCTGGGTCTGGGTGTCTCTCTCTCTCTCAGGGGGTTCACAGTGGCCGTGTGGAAGACACTGAGACCCTGGGTTCAGGGTTCACACCCTGGGTCTGGGTGTCTCTCTCTCAGGGGGTTCACAGTGGCTGTGTGGGAGACGCTGAGACCCTGGGGTCAGGGTTCAAGCCCTGGGTCTGGGTGTCTCTCTCAGGGGGTTCACGGTGGTCGTGTGGGAGACGCTGAGACCCTGGGGTCAGGGTTCAAGCCCTGGGTCTGGGTGTCTCTCTCAGGGGGTTCACGGTGGCCGTGTGGGAGATGCTGAGACCCTGGGGTCAGGGTTCAAGCCCTGGGTCTGGGTGTCTCTCTCTCTCTCAGGGGGTCCACAGTGGCTGTGTGGGAGACGCTGAGACCCTGGGGTCAGGGTTCAAGCCCTGGGTCTGGGTGTCTCTCTCTCAGGGGGTTCACAGTGGCCGTGTGGGAGACACTGAGACACTGGGTTCAGGGTTCAAGCCCTGGGTCTGGGTGTCTCTCTCTCAGGGGGTTCACAGTGGCTGTGTGGGAGACGCTGAGACCCTGGGGTCAGGGTTCAAGCCCTGGGTCTGGGTGTCTCTCTCAGGGGGTTCACGGTGGTCGTGTGGGAGACGCTGAGACCCTTGGGTCAGGGTTCAAGCCCTGGGTCTGGGTGTCTCTCTCAGGGGGTTCACGGTGGCCGTGTGGGAGATGCTGAGACCCTGGGGTCAGGGTTCAAGCCCTGGGTCTGGGTGTCTCTCTCTCTCTCAGGGGGTTCACAGTGGCCGTGTGGGAGACGCTGAGACCCTGGGGTCAGGGTTCAAGCCCTGGGTCTGGGTGTCTCTCTCTCAGGGGGTTCACAGTGGCCGTGTGGGAGACACTGAGACCCTGGGGTCAGGGTTCAAGCCCTGGGTCTGGGTGTCTCTCTCTCAGGGGGTTCACAGTGGCCGTGTGGGAGACACTGAGACCCTGGGGTCAGGGTTCAAGCCCTGGGTCTGGGTGTCTCTCTCTCTCAGGGGGTTCACAGTGGCTGTGTGGGAGACGCTGAGACCCTGGGGTCAGGGTTCAAGCCCTGGGTATGGGTGTCTCTCTCAGGGGGTTCACGGTGGCCGTGTGGGAGACGCTGAGACCCTGGGGTCAGGGTTCAAGCCCTGGGTCTGGGTGTCTCTCTCTCAGGGGGTTCACAGTGGCCGTGTGGGAGACGCTGAGACCCTGGGGTCAGGGTTCAAGCCCTGGGTCTGGGTGTCTCTCTCTCTCAGGGGGTTAACGATGGTCGTGTGGGAGACGCTGAGACCCTGGGGTCAGGGTTCAAGCCTGGTCTGGGTGTCTATCTCTCTCTCAGGGAGTTCACAGTGGCCGTGTGAGAGACACTGAGACCCTGAGGTCAGGGTTCAAGCCCTGGGTCTGGGTGTCTCTCTCTCAGGGGGTTCACAGTGGCTGTGTGGGAGACGCTGAGACCCTGGGTTCAGGGTTCAAGCCCTGGGTCTGGGTGTCTCTCTGTCAGGGGCTTCACGGTGGCCGTGTGGGAGACGCTGAGACCCTGGGGTCAGGGTTCAAGCCCTGGGTCTGGGTGTCTCTCTCTCTCAGGGGGTTACAGTGGCCGTGTGGGAGACACTGAGACCCTGGGGTCAGGGCTCAAGCCCTGGGTCTGGGTGTCTCTCTCAGGGGGTTCACCGTGGCCGTGTGGGAGACGCTGAGAGGGCTTGAACCCTGACCCCTGGGGTCAGGGTTCAAGTCCTCACCGCCACAGATTATCAACAGACACCACCAGAAGTCACTTTTGATGTTTGTTTATTTTGCACAAACACCGAGATGACAACGTACAGTGTAAACACTGTGTGTGTACGTGCGTGTGTGTATGTGCGTGTACGTGTGATTACGTGTGTGTGTACGTGTGTGTACGTGTGTGTGTACGTGTGTGTGTGGATCACCACCATCACCACCATCATCATGGTGGGGTATGTGTGTGTACGTGTGTGTATGTGTGTGTGTACGTGTGTGTGTGTACGTGTGTGTGTGTGTACGTGTGTGTATGTGTCTGTGTGTGTACGTGTGTGTATGTGTCTGTGTGTGTACGTGTCTGTACGTGTGTGTGTGTACGTGTGTGTGTGTGTGTACGTGTGTGTGTACGCGTGTGTGTGTGTACGTGTGTGTACGTGTCTGTGTGTGTGTACGTGTCTGTGTACGTGTCTGTGTGTGTGTACGTGTCTGTGTACGTGTCTGTGTACGTGTCTGTGTGTGTACGTGTGTGTGGAAGTGTGTGTACGTGTGTGTGGAAGTGTGTGTACGTGTGTGTGTACGTGTGTGTATGTACGTGTGTGTGTACGTGTGTATGTACGTGTGTGTGTACGTGTGTGTGTACGTGTGCGTATGTGTGTACGTGTCTGTGTGTGTGTACGTGTCTGTCTGTGTGTGTACGTGTCTGTGTGTGTGTACGTATGTGTGTGTACGTGTGTGTGCATGTCTGTGTGTGTGTGCACGTGTCTGTGTGTGTGTACGTGTGCGTGTGACTGTGTGTGTGTCTGTGCGTGTGACTGTGTGTGTGTCTGTGTGTGTGTTACTGTGTGTCTGTGTGTGTGTCTGTGTGTGTGTACGTGTGTGTGTACGTGCGTGTCTGTACGTGTGTACGTGTCTGTGTGTGTACGTGTCTGTGTGTGTGTACGTGTGTGTGTGTGTACGTGTGTGTGCATGTCTGTGTGTGTGTGTACGTGTCTGTGTGTGTGTACGTGTCTGTGTGTGTGTACGTGTGCGTGTGACTGTGTGTGTGTCTGTGTGTGTGTCTGTGTGTGTGTACGTGTGTGTGTACGTGCGTGTCTGTACGTGCGTGTACGTGTGTGTGTACGTGCGTGTGTTTGTGTGTGTGTACGTGCGTGTGTTTGTGTGTGTGTACGTGTGTGTGTACGTGTGTGTGTACGTGTGTGTATGTGTCTGTGTGTGTACGTGTCTGTACGTGTGTGTGTACGTGTGTGTGTGTACGTGTGTGTACGTGTGTGTGTGTACGTGTGTGTGTACGTGTGTGTACATGTCTGTGTATGTGTACGTGTCTGTGTGTGTACGTGTCTGTGTGTGTGTATGTGTGTGTACGTGTGTGTACGTGTGTGTGTATACGTGCGTGTGTGTACGTGTGTGTGTACGCGTGTGTGTACGTGTGTGTACGTGTCTGTGTGTGTGTACGTGTCTGTGTACGTGTCTGTTTACGTGTCTGTGTGTGTGTCTGTGTGTGTACGTGTGTGTGGAAGTGTGTGTACGTGTGTGTATGTACGTGTGTGTGTACGTGTGTGTACGTGTGTGTGTACGTGTGTGTGTACGTGTGCGTATGTGTGTATGTGTCTGTGTGTGTGTACGTGTCTGTCTGTGTGTGTACGTGTCTGTGTGTGTGTACGTGTGTGTGCTTGTCTGTGTGTGTGTGTACGTGTCTGTGTGTGTGTACGTGTCTGTGTATGTGTACGTGTGCGTGTGACTGTGTGTGTGTCTGTGCGTGTGACTGTGTGTGTGTCTGTGTGTGTGTGTTACTGTGTGTGTGTGTACGTGTGCGTGTGACTGTGTCTGTGTGTGTCTGTGTGTGTCAATGTGTTACTGTGTCTGTGTATATGTGTCTGTGTGTGTACGTACGTGTCTGTGTGTGTACGTGTGTGTACGTGCGTGTCTGTACGTGCGTGTACGTGCGTGTCTGTGTGTGTGTACGTGTGTGTGTGTGTACGTGCGTGTGTTTGTGTGTGTGTACGTGTGTGTGTGTACGTGTGTGTGTGTGTCTGTGTACGTGTGTGTACGTGTGTGTGTGTACGTGTGTGTACGTGTGTGTGTGTCTGTGTGTGTACGTGTGTGCGTGTACTTATATGTGTACGTGTGTGTGCGTGTGTATGTGTGTCTGTGTGTGTATGTGTGTACGTGTGTGTGTGTGTACGTGTGTGCGTGTGTACGTGTGTACGTGTGTGCGTGTACGTGTGGGTGTGTGTACGTGTGGGTGTGTGTACATGTGTTTGTCTGTGTGTGTATTTGTGTGGGTGTGTGTACGTGTGTGTACGTGTGTGAGTGACTGACTGACTGAGTGACTGACTGAGAGACTTACTGACTGAGTGACTGACTGAGTGGGTGACTGACTGAGTGACTGACTGAGTGAGTGACTGACTGAGTGATGGACTGAGTGATGGACTGAGTGAATGAGTGACTGACTGAGCGGCTGACTGAGTGACTAACTGACTTAGTGACTGACTGAGTGGGTGACTGACTGAATAGCTGACTGAGTGAGTGGGTGACTGACTGAGTGACTGACTGAGTGAGTGGGTGACTGACTGAGTGACTGACTGACTGAGTAAGCGACTGACTGAGTGACTGACTGAGTGACTGAGTAAGCGACTGACTTAGTGACTGACTGAGTGACTGACTGAGTGACTAACTGACTGAGTGACTGAGTGGGTGACTGAGTGACTGACTTAGTGACTGAGTGACTGACTTAGTGACTGACTGAGTGACTGAGTGACTGAGTGAGTGGGTGACTGACTGAGTGACTGACTGAGTGACTGACTGACTGAGTGACTGAGTGCGTGACTGAGTGACTGAGTGACTGACTGAGTGACTGACTAAGTGACTGACTGAGTGACTGACTGACTGACTGAGTGACTGACTGAGTGACTGACTGAGTGACTGACTGAATGACTGACTGAGTGACTGACTGAGTGAGTGACTGAGTGACTGACTGAGTGACTGACTGAGTGACTGACTGACTGAGTGACTGACTGAGTGACTGAGTGAGTGACTGACTGAGTGACTGACTGAGTGACTGACTGAGTGACTGAGTGAGTGACTGACTGACTGAGTGACTGACTGACTGAGTGAATGACTGACTGAGTGTCTGACTGAGTGACTGACTGAGTGACTGACTGACTGACTGAGTGATTGACTGACGAGTTCACGCTAAAGGCTGCTTCAACTCAAACAGACCCGTCCCAGCCCGTACCAGCTGACCCACCACGAGACTTGCCGAGGGAGATCGTAACTCATCCCACGACCCTGGGAGTTGGGAACACAGCGATAGACACATCATCATCAGCATCATCATCAGCATCATCATTATCAGCAGCATCAGCATCATCATCATCAGCAGCAGCAGCATCAGCAGCAGCATCAGCAGCATCATCAGCAGGCATCGTCAGGGTCTGGGATCGAACCCACGACCTCC